AAGCCAACGAGGAAGCCAACGAGGAAGCTAACGAGGAAGCTAGCCAGCCAGCCAGCCAGCCAGCCAGCCAGCCAGCCAGCCAGCCAGCCAGCCAGCTAGCCAGCCAGCAAGCAAGCAAGTAGTAAGCTAGCTAGCCAGCTAGCGAGGAAGCTAGCCAGTGAGGAAGCCAGCCAGCCAGCCAGCCAGTAAGGAAGTAAGTAAGCCAGCCAGCCAGCTAGCCAGCCAGCCAGCCAGCAAGGAAGCCAGCTAGCAAGTAAGCTAGCGAGGAAGTAGTAAGGCACTTATTATTAAAGAAGCTTACTAGCTACCTACCTACCTAGGTAGCTCTTGCTGGCTGGCTGGCTTCCTTGCTGGCTTCCTTGCTAGCTGGCTTCCTTGCTAGCTAGCTTCCTCGCTGGCTTGCTGGCTGGCTGGCTAGCTGCCTGGCTGGCTCTAAGCACTTAAACAGAAATATTAATATACTGAAAAAATTTATACACGCTCTCGGTGTATGCCTAGTGCGTAAACCCCGATACAACAATGCAAAATGGGTTTTGGCGACAACTCACCTATAGGCTGCCGTAGTGGGCGTTTATTAGATCCCGCGGGAACGCCTGGGCACAAGTGCAGCGGTGGTGGGTAGACCGCCGCGGGAACAACGACCAGAATTTGCATACACCGAACTTGAATTAGACAGTAAATACATGAAGCCGACAATAAGATGCGACTTTATTCCCGTCGGATAGCCATGGACGATGCTTGGTACAGCACCTCGCCGCCGGGTAGGATTTACTTGATGAATACAAGGCAGCCTGCTCCTTGTCGCAACTCGTCACTTTGCCCTGCCAATGACCAACAATGAATTGCTTTCGTTATTTTGCCTCCAAAACACATTTCGTTACGTATCCCCCAAAGTCAAATCCCAACCGGTTGGCAGAAAGCATCACACCTGCAGCCTTCGAGCATCTTCTCAGCATGGGCGCCACACCACGACCAAGCGTCCACACCCTCCCCTGCGTGCTCATGCGCGCCGGGACGTCCAAAGGCCTCTTCATCCACAAGAAGGACTTGCCCGTGCAGCAAAAGGATTGGGGCCCGCATCTCATCTCGGCACTGGGCTCGCGCGGATGCGACCCCCGCCAGATTGACGGCATCGGCGGCGGCACGTCCACCACATCCAAGGTCGCCGTCGTTTCGCCGTCCACACGCCCTGGCATCGACGTCGACTTTACCTTTGTCCAGGTGGCTATTGGGAAAGAGTCTGTTGATTTTAGCGGCAACTGTGGGAATATGGTGTCTGGGGTTGGGCCGTTTGCCGTGCAAGAAGGGCTGGTGAGACCGGCACACGGATCGTCTGTTGTAAGTGCATATGCACCTGAATGAAGCGCGAAGACTGATTGGATCTAGTGCAAAGTGAGGGTGTATAACACAAATACAAAAAGAGTCATTATTGAGACGGTCGAGATTGACCAGGATGGCCAGTTCAAGGAGGACGGCAAGTATAGCATCCCTGGCGTCAACATGAGCGGCAGTGAAGTCAAGGTCTCTTTCGTAGACCCGGCGGGCAGCATGACGGGCAAGCTATTCCCTACCGGCAACCGCCAAGAAGTTCTTGAAATCCACCCGCGAAAGCATCGCGGCGGCTTCCACGTCACCGTCACGCTCATCGACGCAGCCAATCCGTTCGTTCTAATTGACGCCACCTCCATCGCCTCGCTGCTGCAGACCTGCTCTCCCGACCGGCAGGACGACCTCGTAGAGTCGATCCGGGTCGCTGGCGCCGTGCAAATGGGCCTCGCAGCCGACACGCAGACGGCGTCCCGCACGCGCGGCACGCCCAAGGCGATCCTGCTGTACCCGCCCATCTTTCGCCACGAAGGCGCAGATATCCGCGCGCGAGCATACTCGATGGGCCGACCGCACCCTAGCCTGCAACTCACGGGCGCCGTGGGTATCGCGGCAGCACTGCGGTCGGCGGGGACGGTGGCGGAGCGGCTATCGCGGGCGCCGGTGCTGGTGGACGGCCTGCCGCTGCCGCTCACGCCGGAACGGACGCCGAGCCCAGTAGAGGGCAGTGACGAAGCTGCGGAACTAAGCAAAGGCAAAAATCGCAGCGAATTGCTGATTGAGCATGACAAGGGAGCGATTCGGGTGGAGACTGAAATGGAAAGGGACGAAAATGACCAAGAGCGTGTGAGGAGCTGTGCTGTCTCGAGGACTGCTAGGAGGCTGTTTGAGGGCAGAGTGCGGTACTATGTGTAGTATCGAGGTAGAATTGGATTAATCTAGATGACTTTAGTATTGGCTTTTCAGATGATGATGTTCAAACAGGGTGAAGTGAAGATGGTTACGTCTCACAGGCCAGCCAGCTCACTAAACGGCCAGGGCGCCAAAAAGAAGCAACACTTTCTCATTTTCCTAGACTCCAAGGCTGAAAAATTTGTTGTATTGAATCTATATCTATCTCAATATATATATATCATTGGCCCTCTGCGCCTACTTCGTTGAGCGCCTTGGCCAGGCCGTCGACAGTGCCGGGCAGCGTCTGCACATTGACGACGACGCGCAGAAAACTGCCGCTGTCGCCGGGCGCATAATCCACCATGAAGCCGCGCTCAATCAGCGCGTGCACGATGCGCTGCGTATGCGCCGTATTGGCCTGCTTGTCCGCAGACAGCACGCCAGCCGGGGCGTAGTAGAAGCAGACCTGCAGGCACGGGGTCGGGTTCTCAGACAGCAGGGCAAAGTTACCCGTCCTCTCCAGGCGCGTGTGCAGCAGCGCGGCCATGGCAAAGGCGTGGTCAATCTGGCGCTCGAAGCCGTCGGCGCCGTAGTAGAGCCATGCGAGGGCGAGCTTGAGGCTGTCGCCGCGGCGGCCGCACTGCAGGGTGAGGTCGGCCAGGTCCCACGTCTCGGCGTCGCCACCGGCGCCGTCGTGGAACAGGTAGCCGGCCTTGGTGCTGTTGGCGACCTTGAAGGTGCGCGTGTCCGGGATGAGCAGGTACGAGCACGTCGTCGGCACGTTCATCATCTTGTGCGGGTTGATGGTGATGGAGTCGGCGAGGTGCGACCCGGCGACCTTGTGGCGGTGGGCGCGCGAGAAGACGACGGGCCCGCCCCAGCTGGCGTCAATGTGCATCCAGAGGCCGAATTCCTTGCAGATGGCGGCGATCTCGGCAAAGGGCTCGTACGAGCCGCGCACCGTGGTGCCCGCCGTGGCGTTGACGTAGAGCGGCGTCTTGCCCTGGGCCTGGGCGTGCACGACGAGCTCGCGCAGGGCGTCGGCGCGCATGCAGCCGGCGTCGTCAATGGGCACGGCCCACACGCTGTCGCCGCCGAGCCCGCAGATCATGGCGCTCTTCTCGACCGAGTAGTGCCCGTGCGCGCTGGTGAAGACGACAAAGTCGTGGCCCGCGCCCGCCACGCCCTTGGACTTGGACTCGGGGTACAGCGTGTTGCGCGCCACCACGAGCGAGGTCAGGTTGCTCGAGCTGCCGCCCTGGCACGTGATGCCGCCGGCAAAGTCGCCGGTGAAGCCAAACAGCCCGGCGAGGGCGCGGCCGGTGGCCTTTTCAATGACGGAGAGCGCGGGCGAGACTTGATAGACGTGGAGCTTGGGTAGGTTAGCGCGGGAGAGGTGTTGCGGCGAGGAATAAGGGAGACGGTTACATTTGTGTTGAGGATGGAGAGAATTATGTCGGAAATGACGCCAACCTGGAGACGACGAGATTAGCAAGTTGTTGACGTGGGATATAGGCTCGAGGGGCGGCATGTACCGGCGTGTTGCTGGCGTAGAGCTTGTCGAGGAAGCCCTGGTCCCAGGTGTTGACGCTGTAGTCGAGGATGCGCTGGATCATGACGAGCAGGCCGTCGGTGCCCTGGCCCTCTGCGGGCAGGACGAGGTCGAGCTTGGCGGCGAGCTCGGCAGGCGCGGTCGTCTGGACGAGGACGTTGGGCCGGCCCTTGGGTATAGCGCCGGTGGGCTTTTCGGCGGCGGCGTCGTCGGCGGCCTTGACAAAGGGAATGATGAGGTCCTGGACAGCTTGGAGGAGCTTGGATGGGACGCCGTGTTAGCGCAAAGGGGCACGGATTGTTGCGACTGTCGGGACCGTTGGCGACTCACATGCTCCAGCTCACCGGCCCGGTTCAGCAACGGGCCGGGGACGGTCGCCGGCGCGGCATTGCCATTTTGGGCGGCGGCGGCGGTCGCTGCGGGTGGTGTCATGCCTTGTCGGACAGGGGGGGGGCGGTGCGGACGGGCGGCGGTCGGGTGACTTTGGCTAGCACAACAAGCGATTTATTCTTTGTTTGAACTAGTTACTGCGTGAATCGAGGGGGGAGGATCGACAAAGCCGGGGAATCGCAGTCGTCTTCTTTGTTTTTGGGGCGGGCGGTATGGGGAGAAAAAGGAACATGCAGAGAGGAAAAAAAAGAGAAAGAAAAAAAAAAGAGGATGTAAAATGCCGCGGCAGGGGAAAAAAAGAGCAAGAGATGTTCTCCGAGGCAGAAAATAACGGCCCGTCATTGAGCGAGGTCCCGCTGCGCATTGGCTGCGGACGGCAGCCGGACTGTCGGGCCACGGCCTGGGTTGAAGAGAACTACGCCATGCGGCTAGCCTTGTGTGTGCCATTTTACGGTTTTATTCGGAATCACGGTAGCATGCAGGCATCCGACAAATCATTCTCTCTCGCCCTTGTTCACCAAACGAGAACGTGGTTGTCTCGGCGTAACCAGAAGGCCAGCCGCAAAATCACGTCACCGTGGGGGCTATAACTAGAACGTTGGGCGGACAAGACGGCGGCGGCCTGCAAACATGCCATGTGACCCCTGCAAATGGGAATGGATTATTCCTCCAAACAGCTCATTCGTGTAACCAAGCGAGCTGGATGATTATATTACATTCTGAGGAGACGTTGATGGCAATCCATCTGTGCCAAGTCCGAATTTAAATCCTTTACGACGTGCTATGCCTATTTAAGGAATGGGGACAAGCGTCATGGTCTCGTGTCGTGTAGTTATAAAATGCACAAATTTCTAGGAAACGAAAAGGGAAAGAAAAGAATCAACGTAGAAGAAAGGACCTGGTAGGAAAGGGACAGGAGGCGCAAGTACCGCCGTGAGCCGGGGCAAACAACCGCCAGCGCAGTTACTCCGTCGTCGACAAACCTGCCATATGCCTCAACCCGGATGATGGCCTCTCTGTCGCAGTCCCCTCGTCCATGTCCAACAGTAATTGCTGTATACCGGAGAAAAGAAGAAATCCCCCATATCTCTTTGACCGCGACAACGGCCGTCTCCTCGCGCCAACTCCCGTCCGCCTTGGTTACTCCTCCAGTCCATACCTCGCAGTAACTGTTTCCTCCCCCTCCCAAACAAACCTTTATATCACTAAACATTCCCAAACACGAAAACCCCGTAGTCACAGCTCCTCTACTTGTCCAACACCAGCACACACAAACACAAAAAACCACAAAAACCATGTGCCACCTTCACTTTGGCACGCACCCCTGCGGCTGCCGCGACGAGAGCCGCATCGTCGTGTGCGACCGCGTCGTGCACCACGTCGCCGACGCTCGGTGCTTCGAGACGCTGAGCTGCCGCCGGCGCCGCCGCCGGTGGTGCGCCCGCCACCAGCCCGCCACCACCTACACCACCTCCTCGAGGTCGCCGACGCCGCACCCGCGCCCCGGCCCGGCCGCGTGGGAGTACGAGCGGCCCGAGTACGACATCTACGGCCGGTACCACCACTCGTCCTATTTCAGCTCCTAATAATGGAAATTGCGTGTGTTGGCCATCGACAAAGATGCACACGTCATGTTTGAGTCGGAGATCAATTCAGTCTCTTTCCATTTACAACCTCAAAAATAAACCAAAAAAATACAACCTTCGTTTCTCCATCATCATTACTGTTTGCGTCTCATGTCCAAAAAAAAAATATGCGTGTCCAATAAATTCCAAGAAAACCTCCCTCCAGTCCTCCGCGATGCTTTTGTTCCCCCGTGGCGCCATACGATCGTAGCCTTGGTATCTCTGCAAGCAAGCAAACCCAACCCAAATGTCCCAAGACCCAAGTGCAAGATGAAACAAGTACAACGAAACGGAAAAAAAAAAAAAAAAAAAAAAAAAAAAAAAGGACAGACGTGTTTCCAAAGCTGTTCCGTACAGCGTCGACAAAAAAACGCCATCACGTTTGGACGTGATTAAACCAAAACCCAACCCATCACCTTGGATAATTGTAAAATGCAACCGAGTACACCATCAACCACTCGCTACCAGCAGCGCAGCCTCTTCCAGAACCCGCCCTTGCCGCGTCCAAACCGCTCGCCCGTGATGCGCGGCCCTCCCATCCCACGCTTCTCCGCGCCCGTCGCTGCACCACCACCGCCGCCACTGCCGTCTTCCCGCGGCAGCGGTGTCAGGGGCTTCGTCATGCCGCGCGCATTCAACTCTGTATTGTCCATGATGCCCATCTGCGCGAGCCTCCTGCGCTCCATGACGCGGCGGACCAGCAGCGCAAACGTCTCCTCGATATTGACCTCGAGGCGGGCGCTCGTCTCCATGAAGCCGCACCCGCGGCGGCGCGCCCAGTCGAGCCCGACCGCGGCCGGCACCTGGCGGCTCTCCTGCAAATCGCACTTGTTGCCGGCGACAATCTTGACGGGCGGCACCATGCGCACGGCGCCGGGCCGCGCATCCGCCCCCGTGCCCAGGCCCGCGCGCCGCGCCCGCTCCGCATTGTCCAGCCGCGTCTCCGCCTCCATGTCGATGAGGTCGTTAAAGTACGTCAGCGCGTCGAGCGAGTCGCGCCCGGTGATGTCGTACACGAGCAGGAACGCGTCGGCGCCCAGGTTCGAGCTCGCCCACATGCCGCGGTACTCCTCCTGCCCGGCCGTGTCCGTCAGCGAGAGCGTGTAGGTGCTGCCGTCGATGCGCCGCGTCACCGAGTAGCTGTCCTCAATGGTCGGGTCGTACTCGGACGTCCACTGCGAGCGCACGAGACGGAGCGTGATGGACGACTTGCCGCACCCGCCGTCGCCGCAGATGGTGATGGAGATGGGCGTCGAGGGCGTCACCGTGGGGATGGTCTGCTGCTGCTGCTGGGGCGGCGCCGGCGCCGGTGGTCCCGTCTGGTAGTAGGAAGCCATGCTTTGAGTGGGCGGATGGTTGGTGTTGGTTCTTGTCCAGGTGGTTTTCTTTGGTGTTGCTTTCTTTTAGTCTGGTAAAAGGGCCCAGCGTGTGGTGCTGGTGGTGCGACAAACGAAGGTGGGAAAGTGAACTGCCGTGTTTTAATTAGTTCTCCGTGCGCGCGCGCAGACTGCAGGCGCAAGCGAGATGAAGACCACGAGGCGACAACCACAGTGATGGTTCGACGGCGAGAAGAAAAGTGCTTGAGCGCCAAGACAGACTGGCGATCCGACAAAACGTTCATAAACCAAGCAAAAAATAAAAGCAGTGTTAGTTTCGTCGTCCTCGGCCGTTTGGGTTCGAGAAAAGGGCCCTGGCGTCAGTATCGCGCGTCCAGGGGGTGGTGGGGGGCGGGATTCTGCTCGACAGCGTGGCTATCCCAGCAACGTTTCTTATCCGATAGAGAGATTACGCAAAAAGCCAAGGGTCTTTCATGCGGTTAGTTTATGCGGGATCAACGTTGATGTTGTCCTTTTCCCTGACGATAAGCAGAGAGATGATGAATGAACAAAGGGAAAATGTGCAAACCTCCAGCAGGGCGGGGGGGGGAACTTGCCTGTCCCCCTTTTACCAAAGCGAGCCGTCGCGTCGCGGGGGGTCTGCGCCACGGAGACGATGACTAGAACTTTTCTTTTCTTGATAAAAACATATAGAAATTAATTAAAAAAAAAACATCAATAGTCATATAAGCCATGTGCCACAATGCGACAGAATGGGCCGCAGCTGAGAAATCCCGGGAAACACATGCCGATGAGGGGGAGCAATGAGACACTGGGGGACCGCCACCATGGTTCAAAAGTGGCCCTATTACGGGCGGTTCGCAGCAAATCTGCAACCTCGCTACGGAGTAGTTGGTCGAGCGTACATATCAATATCACCCAACACCGTTGTGAACCGGGCTTGTTCTTCCGCTGCGTTGTGACTGTGACACGTCAGGATATCCCGATATTGCCGTTTCTCAAGATGCTGCCCAACACGACTTTGTCAATGCCCGACGACTACTCTGTACTATCCGTGCTGTTTGACGAGAAACGAAAGAAAAAAAGAGATCCATGGCTGGCCGAGACCCCACGCGCCTCGTCTCATCATGTCCAGGCTCAGACTGTAGCGGGAGCCCGTGCTCTGCATTTTTTGCAGACGTTCATGCCCCCCCCCCCCCCCGATTGCTGTCGCTATTTCCGCAGCAGCGTGATTCGTCTTCTCGTCACCATGGTCTGATAGGCTGCCTACGGTGGCTGCGGGTTTGGGAAAAGAAAATTCGGGAGACACACCTGAAAAATAGGGTCGCCCCTCTGTGGCTATAATAAACAGTAAACAGCCGACTTACAAGCACACTGCATTTGCTTTTTGTTATACCTTTGTTTCGTCTTTTGCCATGAACTGTGTTATCCCACGGGTTTTCTTGTTCCCTCGGAAACTGGTTTCGTTTGATTCTTTTATTGTCCCGCCACTACTGTTGTCACTTCTTACAAATTACACATCAGTAAACATGACGCCTCTTCGTTGCGACCAAGACCAACAGTAGGACAGTACACCCCAAACGTCCATGATTTCCACTTGGCCTTTGCAATCCTGGCCGCGCGCACAAGTTGTCGGCTCACAACTCGGCCGAATTGAACCATTCAAATTGAACAACAGCTCCTCCAACCCACCAGTTCCCCGCTGTGCCGTCGCCCGATCCCTGTTCCAGACATCCTTCACCATGCACGACAGCAGCGACTATAACTACGCCACACCTATATCAGGCTGTTTATATCGGAAGATTTCCTGTATTGGCTCTATACACAATGGGTATTAGATGCTCTAATTGATTCAACCCCACGGCACCTGTCGGCCTAGCTCAAAGGGGCATGTCCCCCGTGTGTCACACATGCAGTATTAGTCTTGTTGCCACTGACAGGTCCAGCAAAAAGCAATAAAAAAAGCTCGCGATGAGCTTTGCCAACTCCAAAAACGCCCTTCAAGTGACAGGTCAAAAACGCGTCGAAATGTAGCAGATAAATGAAACAAACCCGCGACTCTATCCTCTAGACCTCTAGAGAGAGCGAGCACCAAAAAAAAAAAAAAAGAAGGAGAAGCCCCGCCTCGGGAAGAAATCCGTCTATGCCTGCTTGGCCACCCAATCCTTCCACTTCTTGTACTCGCCATAGTTGAGCGACCGCTTCTTGCCCTGGTACCGGGTCACCGACAGCTCCAGCTCCGGCCAGCGCGCGCGGCTGCCCGTCCAGCCGGCCTTGCGCACGAGGCTCAGCAGCGTCTCGTCCTTTGTCCAGCCCTGCTCGGCGGCAATGTCGGGGAGGTAGGTGGCGCCGTAGCGGCGGCCCTTGTCGCGGAAGGACAGGCGGAGGCCGTGGGTGCCGACGTCCCAGTCGCGCGCGTCGGCGGCCTCCTCAAAGTCGGTCAGCAGCGTGACGGCGACCTGCAGCGCGGGGAGCTCGCGCGCTGTGACGGGCGAGAAGCGCGAGTCCTGCAGCGCCGAGATGAGCGCGTACTCGGGCAGGCCCTCGGCGAGCGGCTGGCTCTCAAACGTGCCGATGCAGCCGCGCAGCGCCACCTCGTCGGCGTCGAGCACCGTGTTCCACGTCACAAACAGGGGCGCCGCGTGCACCGTCGCCGGCGAGGCCGACGTGGCCGGCGTCGAGGCATCCAGGGACAGGCTCGACGACGACGACGCAGACGCCGAGTCACTGTCGGCGGCGCCGGCTACCAGCCGCTGCAGCGCAGGCACCTTGGGTGAGAAGGCCGCCGGCGACGCGGTCGAGCTCTTGTAGACGGCCCACGACGCGCGCACCTCGTCCAGCGACATGGCCTTGGTCTTGCTGAGCGCGGCGTCGAGCGCCTCGAAGCAGATGAGGCAGTGCTCGATTGTGGCCATGGCGTTTGGCACGGAGATGACGACGGCGGCGCGAGGTTTTAGTTCTTTTAGGTTACTAGGGATATCGACGGATGGGAAAAGAAGCCCTGAACCGCCTGTCGTGTCAACGTCGATATATGTAGGTTCCTTTTTCCCAGATTTTGTACCAAGCAAAAGTTCAAGACAAACAAATCGTTGGCATGCGGGGAGAAAGAGGGGAAGTCAAGGGCAGCACGAGATGTCACTAGGCTCCACCTCAATGAACCCCCCGCGATGCGATGCCACGCAACTCATAATTGAATGAGCTATAAAATAGCACTTGAAAAGTGGAAGTCGCGGGCGCTTCGGCAGCTTTTTGAATCTTGGCTACCATTGTCTACATACGCTTTGCCTTGTTGTAGGGCCTGTGAGCTGTAAGCCTGTTTTGGTCGTTGATGTACCTATGTAACTTTTCCGCACTGTGCTAGCATAAAATCGCCATGTTTCTTCCGATAAATGTTGGGTGACTGCCGATAAAAATTGATAAAAATAAACCGACTTGCTTCGAATCGATTATTAGTCACTCCCACCTCGCGCAGAAACGCCAGACGCTCTGCGACTGCGCCCACTCCCACCAATCCGGTCCCAAAGTCGCCGATCAAGATGTCGATGATACCCAGCACAAAACCCGGCACCAGCAGCGGCCCGAGGGGTGCCATATATACACGTTCCTCACTTCGAAACAATGGTTCGGGGCAAGAAATCATTTGAAATTCTCTCCATCTTGCCCTTCGTCTGTATTTACGTCTGCGCACCCCCCGGCCGTCTCAGCCTAGGCCATCATCAGCTTGAAGCACGCCTGCGTTTCATGCCAGACTGGGGGCTCTGATTCATGTCCCACGCAGTGAACCGCAAGAAGGGCCTCGAACGCCCTGCGTCTCCATCATCCCACCAGCATGCAATCTCATCTATCAGACCATTGGGCCTTGTACACAAATCATAGTGCCGAACAAGCAGGGGGGGGGAGGCCTAGCGAGATGCCAAGTCCCATCTCTATCTGGCTTTGGGAAGCTTGTCCCTCTCCCCCAATGTTCAGCATGATACTCGGTGGCGGAGGTGAAACTTGACGGGCATACAACGACCGGTTTGAGATTTCAAGGTGCGTTCTTTGGTTTGGCCCGAACTCTGCCCTGTGCCTTGTTCTTTTGTCATCTCGAGTGCGGACGCGGTCCGGTCTCGACACCGGCTCGTTTTGGGCTGGTCTTTATTTCACCACCATCAGCCAAACCTTGGCACATGGCGACGACGGGTCGTTGAACTTCCGAGCCGCAGATCTCGCCCATGAAGCCATTCAACGTGGTGAAGTCTGCCCTCCTGCATTGGTGGCGTTGGCGTGCACAGGCGTAGAATATAATAAGTCAATGTCCAGTAAACCACAGACTCTTTTTTTCCCGGCCCTCTCTTCTTTAATACCAAGTCGTCTTTCATTTGTTCTTCTATTCTTTTTCAATCTTTTTTTTTAACTTTCAAACTCCCATTTATTCTATTCAACTTCGTCGAAATGCAGTTCACTCTCATTACACTCTTTGCTCTGGTCGCCGCCGTCGTGGCCAACCCCCTTGGTAAGGCACTCCAAACACGTGGGAGCCTATGAACCTAGGGTGTGCCCATTCGCCAAGAACATGACTAACTTCCTTTCTGCTATAGTTCCCCGTCAGAAGGCGTCGGAGGCCAACGAAGTCACCGTCGAGAGCCCTTCCATGACCGACGCCAACGGCAACATCATTCCTTTCGACGCCGACACCGTCTCCCAGCCCAACCTCGCTGCCGGTCTGTAAGCGATCAATAGCCAGAACAAATGGAAGGGGATGCTATGGCAGAAAGTCTCGCGTTGTTGAGCAACAGAGGCGCGAATACACTTGGACAGAAATGAGCTGGCAGACGGGACTCTTTTGCAATCTCATAGGATAATACACTCTGCTATATGTTGTCTTCCTACAGTAAATGCCTCATCTTGCACCCTAAGGTTCGAACGAATCGAGCGAAAAGGTTCGTTGAAGTGATGCATAGCCCATGTAGTGCTGGTCATGGTAGAGTCAGTGTATGAAGATGCAGATGGAACTACACGGGGAAGGACGGATGAGGCAAATATTCCCAACAGAATGGGAGTCTACCAGCTGCTTTTTTTTTACAAAATCTCTCAATAATATTTACTCACAAGAAAAATTCAAGTAATCGTTATGACTTTGGTTATCTCGCTGTGACTGGCTTTAGTCACCACTTTGCTACATACCTCGGAACACCAGATCTTGTTCCGTACCCTGCACCCAGTAAAGACCACTTACAGCCACGCAACGGCTGCGCAAGCATCAGTCCCGTTGTCTGTTCAAATGTTAATCTCAAGTGGCGACGAATTGCTAATATTTTTACTCTTTCTCAACGACCATTCGTTAAGCGGAAAAATATTGACATGGCCGGCGATAAAACACGGTGCAAATCCTAGGTTGGAAATTCGGAATCATGCAAGGTATGTCCGTGTCGCGGTTGCATTAACTATTGTATTGCAGCCCTTTTCGCTATAAATACCACTTGCAATACCTCTACATGTAAATAGAAACCAGCGTTGCAGTCGTTATATTGATAGAAATGGCCTCACATGTATAATTGTGGCTGCGCACGCTTGCCAAGGGCTGCCAGCACACACAGAACTCCCGATCCGGCTGTCCGACTTGGCCAATAGTGGCACATTCCATCATTCCGCCTCTCAAAATAGCATACAAATTACTTGTGCATGCAAGGCAGGTGGGCAAACTTACTACACGTGTTGATCGATGCCCCATTGATGCATTCAACCCGCGCACCAGTTGACCTGCAGGGCTGTCCCAGCACCCCCCCAGCCTCCCACGTTTCATGACCGAGGGGTCGACAGGATGCTAATTAGGGGATAGTTGAATAAAAAAGCTGAGGCGAGCCTTACATAAAAAACCCCGGTCGCGTAGAAATCAGCGGTCACAGCTTTTGGGGCGGGCACTTATGTATGGCCAGACCGAGCCTGGTACCCAGCCAGTCAGCCTCGGCGGGTCGCTGAAAATGGCAACAATGAAGTCGCTCATCCAAGCCTTGAAAGTTGAAATAGATGGGAGAGTCCTTGCTGCCGAGCTGGCTTCTTTATCTGGTCTTTTGGCAGTAGAAGAGCTGCGCAGAAAAATGCCCAAGCATGTGTGTAAAGCAAAGACTCAACGCCATTCCGCCCAATATAAACGCCAGATGAATGCAACCACATCGTGAATTCCAGCACTCCTCTAGTATTACTAGTAGCCCGGCACTCGTCGACACAAATCTGCCATGGCGTCACGTTAGCGTGCGCCGGCCGCCTCGGCATCCTCAGCCGCTCAGCCCTTGCTGTCCGACGCGTTCCGCTATAAGGCTGCCTTCGTGGTGGCTCAGCAGCAAATGCATTTCGATTATTGGTTTTTTTTTTCGAGGGGCTTTGTTTCCCTGCTTTGTATGGCCTGTTGCAAAAGAGGGGGGAGGTTGACCCTGACAGCAGCCCGATTTGTGATAAAAAGGCCTCGGGCTGCCCAGAGTTATGTGCCTGCTTCGCTGCGGCGAGCCTATTGTCGTTGCTTCCATCCGTATATTTTGCAAAAAAGAAATCCAAGACATTTCCGCATGGTGCCCGTTCTTGGCAGGTAACACTGAGATAGGAATCGACTCTGGGACGCGCCAGACGACATGGGTCTTCTTCACAAATCACAGGCGCAGTTTGCGCGAGCCCAATGGCGCATCAGGCTGCTGGCACCGATATGGGCTTCGCAGCTCCTGCTGACCATGACCATGATGGGCCTTTTTGCCTGGCGGTTCGGAGACACGATGCGGCATCACGGCGACAAGGTCGAGGCGGGCAAGACACCCATGATTGAATATGCGTACGTTGCCCAACGACAAAGTCTGCACGCCGCACCAAGACTGCTAACGCGGGTGATGTAGCTGGGAGGTGACAAACATTGTCATGTCGCTCGTCGCCTCGCTGTGTACATTTGTCGACGTTTTCCGCTACTACACCGAGTCGCTGACGCCGTGGACGATGCTGTTCACGCACGTCATCAAGGCGACGTGCGCCTTTGCCATTCTCGCGCTCGACGTTGCCGTGTACATTGTGCTGAGCGAAGAAAAGTACTCGCTGATTGGCATCGCCCTGGACAGTCTCCTCATGTACGTTGCGATCCGATCCGAGCTCCGATGCCCGTACCGTGCTAACAAACCGCCTTGACGCAGTCTCTTGACCGGTGCCATGGCCATGTACGCCTTCCTCGCCTACCGCCGGCTCTCCGCGTACGACGACTACGCGCACCCGGCCAACGTCAAGGGCTACGGCTTCAACGACAGCGTCAGCAACGCGTCCTACCTGCCCGCCAGCAAGCGGCGCGTCAGCAGCTCCGCCGCCGCCGTCGACATGGACGTGCTGGACGGCGGCAGCAGCACCACACCGTACGACCACCAGCGCGACACCCAATTCGACGACTACATGGCCAAGCGCAACTCGTTCAACGGGCACCCCCGTCGCGAGAACAGCACCAGCTCCGGCGCGAGGTCGCCCCCGGAGGGCCCCCTTCTCCTCCTCTCGCCGCCGCAGAGCCTCTCGCCCAGCCCGCCCCTGGCCGCCGCGGGCCACGTCGTCAAGTCGCTCAAGCGCGCGCCGTCGGCGCCGCGCGCCATCAGCTGGGCAAGCGACCACGTCCTGGTCGCGGTCCCGGAGGAGGAGGATGATGAGCTCGCGGCCGGGAATACGAATACGGATGAGGTCTCGCTGCTCAGCCCGGACAGCAGCGAGGTGGCTGGCTGTGACGGCCCGCGCGTGGCCCAGGAAACGGATATACCCGAGCCCAAGTGGAAATGAGGGCTTTCTCTCTCTTGTCTCTGTTTTTTCTATTATTTTTAACTAGGGTTCTGCCGAGAGCGACGAGGGAGGAAGCATCGGCGTTTGGAGAGGGTATGGCTTTGTAGACTGCATAGAGAGCTCCGTGGTGAAATGGCGATGTTTCGCACTGTTTCAGATGACTGACATTGAATATAATCTTTCATATATTTGTAATAGATGCGCAATGAATCAGCGTTATTGTAATGTCTTTACTCGTCCGGATTCATGAGCTACAAAGACGCTTTAATCGGACGCGGTGCTTCTGTTAAAGAGTGGTGGAGTCAAAGATGCAGAGAGTCGAGTATATATATTTTATTATACTGTATTACATTATCATATTCTTATATAAGCTATTCTCAGTTGAATTCTAGTTTTATCCCTAACTATACCTGTTCTTATCTACTGTGTTTTAAGCTGAACCATGACCAGTCCTGCGTAGACACGTGCGATCGTGGAGGCGTCAAGAGTGAGCGTGTTGTGCAATTGTGCCAATAAGACCTCTCTCGAGCCCGCACAACCTCCACAGTACATCATCATCATCCTCCCATTCAGCATAAATGCATGACAATTGGTAGAAACTCCATACTGTGGTGCAATTGTGCCAGAAGATGATGATGTATTGTGGAGGCTGCGTGGGCTTGAGAGAGGTCTCATGTACCCTACAGAGCGTGGTCAGGTTTCCCTGATAACGTACTGCACTGAACCCTCCTTCAGATCAAGCTGGCCACCGCTGGTTCCTTATTGCTAAATTGTGCAGTTGAAAGTCGCTTTGTAAGATTTTCTAGGCTGTTGAAGCCTTGAAACTGCGCACCGTAGCCCTAGACGTTCAGAAGAGGCTACTGAGACCATCCCGTCCTTTCAGAAGCCAGCGGCCCAGTATGGCGGCGCATCTGATAAACTGGCCTTTATTATTGCAGGTATTTTGGCCTTATTTCCCACTGGAACCGCTCAAAACGCCACCAGAAAAAATGCCCGAGTTTCGTCGATTCTTCTGTGGCACCGAGTCGGCCTGCCTAGTCCGTCTGGCTGCCCTACGTGATATTTCCTCTTCGGCATCTTGCAAGATGCTGTGTCTTTGAGAGGTGCATGACACATGACCAATGTACCAACTCTCCCTGGTCACCCCTGTCCACAATACTCTGCATTTACAGCAGCCTATAGGTGAGTTATCGCTAAATCCTAATTCACACCTAGTATACAGTTAGATATAAAATAATATATATATAAGTAGGCTATTATATTTTTTAGATATATATTATCCTTATAATAAAT